GAAGCTTACCCCGCACCGCCCCCCAGACAGGCTTGGCGGTTCTCCAGTCTCCCTAACCCTGTGGCAGCGGTCTGGCCCCCGGGAGGCCTTGCTGAGGTTCCACAGGGCAGAGGTGGCCAGGCCAACTCATGGCCCGACATGGACGGTGGCCGCCTTGCGGATGAGCCGCTCAGTCAAGGGTGAGTTGGGCTTCAAGGCATCACGCTCCATCAGAAGGCTCCTGTGGAAACAGAGGTTCTGTTGTGGAACCTTCTAGAAGGATATGGGGGCCTGGAGGCCCCTTGGCCCCAAGACAGGTACAGTCAGCCCAGGCTGTGGCATGGAGGGGATAGGACAGGTGGAGGCCCAGTGGCATGAGGCCTGGCTCAGCTGGGGAAGGGGCGAGGACAAGAATGCACAACTTTGAGCCAGTGTCATACACGGCTGCCAGGACCAGGACCCGGACACCTGGTCTGGAGAGTTCTCTGAGTGTCTTAAAGATAAACGAGAATTCCTGGGTGAGGCCCTCACTGCCTCGGGGAAAGCTATGGCTCAAGATTTTATCAAGAGCGATGGCCAGGTGGCGGTCCTCCCGCACAGCGCAGTGCTGGGACAGAGAGGCGGGACTGCCCTTCGCTGTCGCTGGTGCAGGAAGAGCAGGTGGCAGAGTGGGAGGTGTGGGGGACTCAAGGTTTAAGAAAGTGCAGTCCCAGGCAGGGGCCCGCTGTGGGAGCCACCCCCGTCACCCCAGTGGGGTGTCAGGTAGGAGGTATGGCTTTGGGAGGTGACCAGGTCATGGGGTGGAGACCTCTGAGTGGGATTAGTGCCCTGATAAGAGGGGAAACATGAGAAGGAGTCACTGCTCCCTGACAGGCCCGTCTGCCTGCCCACCCCGGCTGCCTGGTCCCTGGGGAAGGAGGGCCTGTGGCGATATGAGCTGAGGCCTGAACGAGTCCCGGGTGAAAGGGGAGATTCCTGCCGCGGGCACAGCATGTGAAAGGCCCAGGGGCCTCGAAAGCCAGGACATGTTTAGGTAAACAGGGAGGAGGTCAGGTGGCCAAGCAGCTGGGCCTGGAGGCTCCTAGTCAGGAGGACACATGGCCCGTCAGGACAAGAGCTGGGGGCCCACGGCAGGTCCCCAGGGAGGCCTCCGTGCCAGGGGTGAGTGTGCTAGAGTCGCAGTGGGCACCCCACAGCCAGGAGCTGAAATTTGCTGACAGTGTGAAGGGGGTGGAGACAGTCAGCCACAAGATGACAGGCGGAGTGTCACTAGGTGGCAAGGACTGAGCTGGTCAGGGCGGGGGCCCAGTGAGGACACCTGCGGGCGACCAGCACTGGGCCCCTGCCCTGACCAGCTCAGGCCCCCTCCCTGTGGAGCCCCGGCCCCTGGGGACTGCGGGGTGAGGGGGGGCCCCAACAGACGAGCCCCTTGACCATAGACCAGCAACACGGTGGCTTACACCAACCTCCGTCCTCCGTGGTGACCCTATTTGTAGCGCTCAGCGTGACCAGGAGAGGGGCTGGGGCGCTGCCTGGGAGGGTGAGGCACTCACCGGGCCACGTTCCTGTGGGTGCCCGAGGTGCAGTTCAAGGCCGCGTGAATGAGCAGCTGGTTGAAGACGTCTCTCTGAAACGCCGGTTGGGCCAGTTAGACTCCCGAGGTGGCGTGAGATGGGACCCCCACCACGGCAGGCCGGCTGCTCTCAAGGAATGCAGCGGTACGCTGCTCTCAGGGACCTGCTGTGGTTGCGTCCACACCCTCCATGGTGAGCCACCAGGGAGTGAGATGAGGACCCCACATGGCAGGCAGTGGCGTCCTGGGGGGCAGTGGGCCCCGCCAGTGGCTCACCTGGGCATTGCTGCCCCCGATCTGGACGATGCGGTAGCGGATGGGCAGGAGAAGCTCCAGGACACGGTCGGGGTTCCCATCCTCAGCCTCCACCAGGGCCTGGCACAGGGGCAGCCCCACGTCTTGGGCCAGCAGGTGTTGACAGTTCTCCCCCGGGGATCTGCCAAGCCGAGACAGTGCCCTCAGCGCCTGCCCAGTCATGGCATGTCTGGGTTCCACCTGACAGTGTCCTGAGGGACTTTCTCACAGCTGGGTGTCCCTGGCCCAGGGCCCACTGCGGGGTGAGGTGACAGGAGAGGCCCGGGAGGGCTTGGAGCTCAGGTCTGCATGGGGCTCAACCTGCGACGGGCTACCTGGCCCGACAGGTCCCAGCTTCGTGCCCCTGCATCTCTAAAGCGAGCGGCAGAGTACCCAGCTTGCAGGCCGCCAGGGCTGACACCCGGGCCAAGACTCGGCACCAAAGTCAGGGCTGGCACTGCCGGGAGGGGTGTGGCCCTGGCTCACCCTCAGCTAGCACCACCCATTGACACGAGGAAATAGGCTCAGGGCCGAGCAGCCCTGCCCAAGGTCTCAGGGCCCTTAACTGCCGGCGTCTCTGGTTCCAGGCCCCTCTGCACCCCCCACGGGAGGCTGCCCGCGACACGGAAGCAA